GAACCGTCAGTCCGTCGAGATCGGGTTCAGCGACGAAAGGGGGATTGACAATAAAAGGTTCCCCTCGCTCGAGACGTTGGGTACTACAGTTCTACGGGTGCAAGAGTATGCCTCCTCAAGCACCCGGGCGTCAAAATAGAAGAAGTCCAAAGAAATAATCCAAAACAAGCAAAAGGTCGGCAGGAAACGACAAGCAGATAGGAGAAGAGGGGGGAGAAAAACGAAACATAAGGAAAAGGAAAAGCGATCCGGCACAATTAGAGAAGACAGCAGCAGGAGTGCAAGGCCAGAAAAGGACAGAGGACTGCCCCACGGAGCATCACACTCCGGCAGCCGTCCACCAAGCCCCCTCACGACGCCAACGGGCCGGATGGGGAGGGGGTGTTATGGTATCACCACCTTCATTGAAGCATGGAGTGGCAATTTCGACGCCATCTATGGGTCGGCACCTCAGGTTCCCTGAAATTGGACACTACGTGGACAACGCCATCTATAGTATTGGTGTTGGCATGACAGCAACAAATGGCTCTGGTTTCCTGCCCTAGTTAGCAAGAGAGGTCAACGTGGATGACCTCTGGTGGGTACATGCGCTGAAGCACAATCAGCGCCATCCAAGTTATGCTACGAGTATAATGTCAACTCCCAGGTGAACGAGTGTTACCTCATGGTTTCTCCAGTGTACCATCCATTTAATTGATGACTTTTTATGTCCACAGAAGTGACGTGTGGAGATAATTGTACTGAAGAAGGCAGTTTTTACCTTGGGCAGTCCACGAACCCTTAGCCTGGTCTTGCAAGAAGACTAAGTAAGCCACCGTCAATCTAAGCAGTGTGTTAGCTGCTTGTATATGCAGTGTTGTGGAGGATCGGCGTACCCCAGGATTGGCTATTAAGAGTTACAGTGATGTGCCTTGTGAAGTGCTGCTAGCAAGCTGCTAGACACTTCGGCTAGGGGTTAGCTACCCCTGTGTGAGTTCGTTTGGAGACCACTGTCAGTGTGTTACTCGTGTCCTCTGCCAGCGAGTAGCTGGAGAGTGGAAAGAGGGGTGTAGGCACATCGTGATACTGTGGGGGTGGACTGGCCCGTGTAGAAAGATGAACTCGCCAGTGTTGTCCAGTAAGAGTGCATAGGGTACTAAGACTGGAGTTGATGAACACTGGACTTGACGAACACTGCAAACGCTCGTGTCCTGCGGGAAAGTGACACTATTGTACATAAGTGTAGAAATAATCTATTTATATATATTTTAATGGTGAAGGTGAATATATTAGTGAAAGGAATTGAGTATTATTGATTCCCCCCCCCTTATTCTTTATTGCACTATACAGCCAGTTCTTGAAAGCATACTACCGACTTATGGAACATACTACCGGACTACCATACTACCATATATGGAACATACTACCGGGTTCCAAGGGGTTGTCATAGCCAGGGGGTGGTAATGGGGGACGAGCTCCCATGACCTATGAAATGCTCCTATACGGCATGCGTCTCCAATAGCCTCTGACAACCAAGTCCAACTCCTGGCCTGCACGGGTGGCTTAGTCTTTAAGTCCGGCGGAACTGCTTTTACCGACAGGAGGAGGGGCGAGGGCGTGCCTCTGGCGCCTTAAAACCAGCTGCTCCGGGTAGATGGGACTCGATAGCCTGGGAAGGCAGCCCATCTAGGGGAAGGAAAACCCTAATTTTAAACCTCCGCTGCCTTGCGGCCATACACCTTTTTTTGGGAAAGGCTTCAGGAGTCAACCTCGAGGAAAAATCCGGAGTTGGAGCCCCCAAGGCTCCAACGTCCGGTTGTTGACGTCGACCTCGTTCTGGCAGCTCCTGCGACGTTACTGGAACCATGTGTATTGGCATTTGCTTTTCTATTGGATAATTTCAGCAACGTGGAGAGGGGGGACCTGCTGCATGGGTAACAGCTTCTCCTCCTATCTACCTACCCAGGCTTTGCGACCTGTCAGGGCGCAACTCCATAGTCTTTAGACTGAAGGATGCCTACTACTACCGACTTGGGATCCGATACTATAGAAGAGGTTATAACATCAAGAATCCAGTTACTGGTCCATAGTGGCCGTAACAGATTGCAACCTGGGGTACTACTGAACCCCTTGAGGGTTCCTGAGGCTTCCACTGAAGCCAGTCCCTGGTTTGGCTTCATCCTGGATATTATAGTATCCTGGACACCAGGATACTATGCCATTACACACACAATACCAGTAGAGGTGGTATACCACTAGAGTAACTATACCAGTAGAGGAAGTGGCAGAGGGCGGTGGAGGCGACGGTGGGATGCAGGTGAGGGAGTCATGTGTCGAGGACAGAGCCAGGACACATAAGGGCCCGCCAGGGGGGACACATAAGGGCCCTCCAGGGGACCACCAATCTTCACTAGCCACACTGCCCTCCGCGCTACTCCCATAAACTTTCCCTCCGTACTTTTAACCCATTTTCCAACCTAGTTTCTGTGAAGCTATTTACTTTATTAAATTATTAAACAATGTTCAAATTACACCCGGCGTAGCCCCATAAGGCAGATGCGTGACACCATGCAGAGTGGAAGGGAAAGGAACTATGATTGATTGATGAAGATTAAGCCACCCAAAAGGTGGCACGGGCATGAATAGCCCGAAAGTGGTGGCCCTTTTAAGCCATTACCAATATCAAGAGCTGATACTGGAGATCTGTGGAGGTGCGACTGCACCCTGAGTGATGGGAGATGTCTCCCGTGAGGAACTATGAGGTGAAAGCGTGACTATATAGCACTGGGAAGGGGTCTCCTTATCTTGAGGTTATCTTGACATGATTTCGGGGCTTTTTTTAGTGTCCCCGCGGCCCGGTCTCCGACCAGGCCTCCACCCTCAGGAGCAGCCCGTGACAGCTGACTAACACCCAGGTACCTATTTTACTGCTAGGTAACAGGGGCATAGGGTGAAAGAAACTCTGCCCATTGTTTCTCGCCGGCGCCTGGGATCGAACCCAGGACCACAGGATCACAAGTCCAGCGTGCTGTCCGCTCGGCCGACCGGCTCCCTGGGGTGGGGGGATAAGGATTTGGGATGGGACGTTGGGAAAGGAATGGTGCCCAACCACTTGGACGGTCGGGGATTGAACGCCGACCTGCACGAAGAGAGACCGTCACTCTACCGTTCACCCAAAGTTGTTAAGGGAGACAGAGAGGAGAACACGGCCACACAGTAACCTAAGACACTTCTAGAATTGCTTCATTGAATCTCATTTTGACTAATTCTAGACATTGATTCATTGATGGGAAATGTTGTCAACAGACCAGGGATGGAAATATGGTGCTACCTCTCGCCATGTATGGTAGGGGTAGTGTCGTGTTTACCACAGATGTAAACAATGTGCCACAATAAACCACAGATGTAAACAATGTGTCACAATAAACCACAGATGTAAACAATGTGTCACAATAAACCACAGATGTAAACAATGTGCCACAATAAGCCACAGATGTAAACAATGTGCCACACCAAACCACAGATGTAAACAATGTGTCACAATAAACCACAGATGTAAACAATGTGCCACAATAAGCCACAGATGTAAACAATGTGCCACACCAAACCACAGATGTAAACAATGTGCCACAACAAACCACAGATGTAAACTATGGGTCAGAGGCAACAAATGTGCTACAACGTTCCAGCAACAAAGGTGCTACAACGTTCCAGCAACAAAGGTGCTACAACGTTCCAGCAACAAAGACGCTACAACGTTCCAGCAACAAAGGTGCCACAACGTTCCAGCAACAAATGTGCTACAACGTTCCAGCAACAAAGGTGCTACAACGTTCCAGCAACAAAGACGCTACAACGTTCCAGCAACAAAGACGCTACAACGTTCCAGCAACAAAGGTGCCACAACGTTCGGGCAACAAATGTGCTACAACGTTCCAGCAACAAAGGTGCTATAATGTTCCAGCAACAAAGGTGCTACAACGTTCCAGCAACAAATGTGCTACAACGTTCCAGCAACAAAGGTGCTACAACGTTCCAGCAACAAAGACGCTACAACGTTCCAGCAACAAAGGTGCCACAACGTTCCAGCAACAAATGTGCTACAACATTCCAGCAACAAATGTGCTACAACATTCCAGCAACAAAGGTGCCACAACGTTCCAGCAACAAAGGTGCCACAACGTTCCAGCAACAAAGAAGCCACAACGTTCCAGCAACAAAGAAGCCACAACGTTCCAGCAACAAAGAAGCCACAACGTTCCAGCAACAAAGAAGCCACAACGTTCCAGCAACAAAGACGCCACAACGTTCCAGCAACAAAGGTGCCACAACGTTCCAGCAACAAAGGTGCCACAACGTTCCAGCAACAAAGAAGCCACAACGTTCCAGCAACAAAGAAGCCACAACGTTCCAGCAACAAAGAAGCCACAACGTTCCAGCAACAAAGACGCCACAACGTTCCAGCAACAAAGAAGCCACAACGTTCCAGCAACAAAGAAGCCACAACGTTCCAGCAACAAAGAAGCCACAACGTTCCAGCAACAAAGACGCCACAACGTTCCAGCAACAAAGAAGCCACAACGTTCCAGCAACAAAGACGCCACAACGTTCCAGCAACAAAGACGCCACAACGTTCCAGCAACAAAGAAGCCACAACGTTCCAGCAACAAAGAAGCCACAACGTTCCAGCAACAAAGACGCCACAACGTTCCAGCAACAAAGGTGCCACAACGTTCCAGCAACAAAGAAGCCACAACGTTCCAGCAACAAAGAAGCCACAACGTTCCAGCAACAAAGACGCCACAACGTTCCAGCAACAAAGACGCCACAACGTTCCAGCAACAAAGACGCCACAACGTTCCAGCAACAAAGACGCCACAACGTTCCAGCAACAAAGACGCCACAACGTTCCAGCAACAAAGACGCCACAACGTTCCAGCAACAAAGATGCCACAACGTTCCAGATACTGGAAGAAAGGGCGCAGATTCTGAGGCAAGGGAGCCCAGGAGCTAGAGCTCACCAGGGAGGAGATGATATAGTTCTGGAAGGAGGACATCATGCCGATCTGCTGCGCCTGCTTCAGCACCTCGCCCACATGCTCTGTCTTGCAGTCCAGGATTATGTTCTGCTCCAACGTCGCCTTCACTTCGTTCAGTACGCCTCTGGGGAGGGAGAGAGAACAGGAAGGTCAGTCAATGTTCAGTAAGGTCTTGGGGGAGCGGGGGAAGAACAAGGTGGTCAAGGGTCGGCCACAAATGTGATAAGTATTGTGGATTGAGAGGAAGTAAATACCTATACAGTGCAGACGAGTTATCACAATACCTTGGCTGAAATATGTTGACCAAACCACACACTAGAAAGTGAAGGGACGACAACGTTTCGGTCCGTCCTGGATCATCACAATCGACTTGAGAATGGTCCAGGACAGACCGAAACGTCGTCGTCCCTTCACCTTCTAGTGTAGTTTGGTCAACACCGTAGTTTGGTCAGTGAACGCTTACACAGTGAACACAGCCATATCGAACACAAAGACTGAAAACACACAGTGAATACAGGTTCTCGCAGCCGAGCGAACAGCGTTCGGGAGTTGAAGTCTAATGGCCTGAGTTCGATTCCCGGCCAAGGCAGAAACAAATGGAAGACTCACCTGTGCAATACACCTGCACCACGACTCACCTGTGCAATACACCTGCACCACGACTCACCTGTGCAATACACCTGCACCACGACTCACCTGTGCAATACACCTGCACCACGACTCACCTGTAATCGTTACCGCGGGGCAGCTGTCTGATGGAGACCTTGAACTCGTTAGGTGAAGGCGTCTTGAGGAGCTCCTGCATCCTCACCAGGCCGTCGTTGTCCTCGTACAGGATGCAGAACGACCGCCATTCCAGCACCCGCACCAGGTCCAGGTACGCCTGTGGAGGTACACCAGGTACACAACGGTGGTACACTTGTGGCACCGGTGTGGTGTGTTGGGGGGACAAGTATGGTACTCGTCTCACTCACACGAGTATGATACATGCTCGTGTGCGGATGTAACTGGGACGAGTGTGGTACAGGCAAGTGTGTGTGAGGGAGGTGAAGGAAACCACATTATCCTGCCCCATTTAAGCTACCAATTATCATGCAGACTAACTGGTCCTATTTGTATGTGACGCAAATTTATTTTAAGTGTTGTAATCACCTGATCCGTACTCGTCACGAGGGCTGGACAGCCCTGTCAGGCAATTGGGTTATATTTAGTTAAGCGGAGAGAAAATAGTAGATGCTTCAGATATCTTACTTGGACTGCATTATCTCGACCAATTAGAATCTAGAAAGACTGGCCAATTAGAGCGCACCAGCTATGCACTTCATCCAATGGGAACTTGTCACATCCAGTGCTGTGGCATTTTAGTGATGGTAATGGATGCAGTGATAGTGAGGACCTCCTCCCTCCCCCCTCACACACCTGCAGACGGTAAGAGTGGTCCCTCTCCCTCACACCTGCAGACGGTGAGAGTGGTCCCGCCCCCACACACCTGCAGACGGTGAGAGTGGTGAGGGAGAGCTTGGCCCTGATAATATTTACTATCAATGACATGTTCTCTGAGTGGCTGTGTGTGACCACAGAGGCCTGGACTGTCACCAGGTGCAAGGTGCCGTCTTGTGTGGTGTAACACACACACACACACACACACACACACACACACACACACACACACACACACACACATACCAGCGATACAAAGATGCGAGAAACAACTATACAGCAGTAAGGAGAGAGGCAGAAAGAAATTTTGAAAAAGGGATAGCAGATAAATGTAAAACAGAACCGGGCCTATTCTTCAAATTCATAAACAACAAATTGCAGGTAAAGGATAATATCCAGAGGTTGAAAATGGGAAACAGATTCACGGAAAATGAAAAGTTCCAAAGTGTGTTTGTACAAAATGAAATCTTCAGAGAACCAGACAATAAGAATTCCAGAGAACAACATAGAGCGGATAGAGGTGTCTAGAGATGAAGTGAAAAATATGCTAAAGGAGCTCGGGAAGAACAAAGCAGCTGGCCCAGATGGCGTTTCACCATGGGTTCTGAGAGAATGTGCATCTGAGCTCAGCATTCCACTTCACCTGATCTTTCAGGCATCCCTGTGTACAGGAATCGTAGCAGACGTGTGGAAACAGGCTAACATAGTTCCAATCTACAAAAGTGGCAGCAGGGAAGACCCCCTCAATTATAGACCTGTATCATTGACAAGTGTAATAGTGAAAGTATTGGAAAAGCTAATCAAAACTAAATGGGTAGAACACCTGGAGAGAAATGATATAATATCAGACAGACAGTATGGTTTTCGATCTGGAAGATCCTGTGTATCGAATTTACTCAGTTTCTATGATCGAGCCACAGAGATATTACAGGAAGAGATGGTTGGGTTGACTGCATCTATCTGGACCTAAAAAGGCTTTCGACAGAGTTCCACATAAGAGGTTTTTCTGGAAACTGGAAAATATTGGAGGGGTGACAGGTAAGCTTCTATCATGGATGAAAAATTTTCTGACTGATAGAAAAATGAGGCAGTAATCAGAGGCAATGTATCGAATGGAGAAATGTCACAAGTGGAGTACCACAGGGTTCAGTTCTTGCACCAGTGATGTTTATTGTGTACATAAATGATCTACCAGTTGGTATACAGAATTATATGAACATGTTTTGCTGATGATGCTAAGATAATAGGAAGGATAAGAAATTTAGATGATTGTCATGCCCTTCAAGAAGACCTGGACAAAATAAGTATATGGAGCACCACCTGGCAAATGGAATTTAATGTTAATAAATGTCATGTTATGGAATGTGGAATAGGAGAACATAGACCCCATACAACCTATATATTATGTGAGAAATCTTTAAAGAATTCTGATAAAGAAAGAGATCTAGGGGTGGTTCTAGATAGAAAACTATCACCTGAGGACCACATAAAGAATATTGTGCAAGGAGCCTATGCGATGCTTTCTAACTTCAGAATTGCATTCAAATACATGGATGGCGATATACTAAAGAAATTGTTCATGACTTTTGTTAGGCCAAAGCTAGAATATGCAGTTGTGTGGTGCCCATATCTTAAGAAGCACATCAACAAACTGGAAAAGGTGCAAAGACATGCTACGAAGTGGCTCCCAGAACTGAAGGGCAAGAGCTATGAGGAGAGGTTGGAAGCATTAAACATGCCAAAACTAGAAGACAGAAGAAAAAGAGGTGATATGATCATTACATACAAAATAGTAACAGGAATTGATAATTTCGACAGGGAAGATTTCCTGAGATCTGGCACTTCAAGAACAAGAGGTCATAGATTTAAACTAGCTAAACACAGATGCCGAAGAAATATAAGAAAATTCACCTTCGCAATAGAGTGGTAGACGGTTGGAACAAGTTAAGTGAAAGGTGGTGGAGGCCAAGACCGTCAGTAGTTTCAAAGCGTTATATGACAAAGAGTGCTGGGAAGACGGGACACCACGAGCGTAGCTCTCATCCTGTAACTACACTTAGGTAATTACACTTAGGTAATTACACACACACACACACACACACACACACACACACACACACACAGTGGAGATCTGACATGATTCCCCGAGGTGCTGGCTCGCCAAAATGATCACATCAACACCACTGAAGCAGTGAAGAAGCAGTGAAGCAATCAGAGCAGTTAGAGGACCCGGTCCAGGTATCATCAACCACTCAAGTGACCACATAAGTAACCTCAAGCTTTTCTTAATCATGGCAGCTTCATTTATTAAAGAGCTTACGAGTTTCCAAGCGCTGCGAAGTTGTGTATAACAATAAATGGAGTAAAAGATAAGTGAAGAGAGCAGAGACAGAAGCCAGAGAGCGTTACCCGAGGACCATCAGAAAATAGGACTAACGCCGCCACAACAAATTGGAAAACGGCTTGTCAATCTGTCGGAAAATTGTGTACAGGAATTGTTCCAACACTGAAGGTGGTGGGTGCTGAGGGAGGAGGGGTGCGGGTACTGTCCTTGCTGAGGGAGGAGGGGTGCGGGTACCCACCTTACTGAGGGAGGACGGGTGCGGGTAGAGGTTGACGGAGTAGTCGTCCCGCCGGAGACGGAAGTCCCAGCGCGTCTCGATGTGAGGAATCTCCAGGGCGTCACAGATGGACTGGACGTGGGCCGAGGTCTGGCCTGACTGGGGCCC